CGAATATGATATTCCCAACGCTGCTCCCTCCTTCCCGCCCCAACCCGAACATTCTTTAAAAAGAAAAAAAGAAAAAAAGAGCTTAAGTAAATGATGATTTAGCGAAAGCCATCCCTTCCGCTTTCTCCTTTTATAAAGTGTGGATAAATGAGGCAGAAATAATGAGAGGAGCGCCAACTGTGGCTCTTCCGGCGTGAACATGGCGCCCTCACCCGTGAACGACGCCGCGGACCCGAGCCGACTCGCCGACGGAGGGAACGGGGCTCGGCCGCGCTCGGACTCGGGGGCATGTGTTCCGCTTTTTATCTTTAATTAGATTTTATCTTAGTCTTATCTTTTGATTTCGGTTGCTTGTTTGTCTGTTTTCAAGACTAGGTTGTTTTTGCCTTTTATTTTTTTGCGTTTAAGAAGAGGAAATAACATCGCTTGTCTCTCTCTCTCTCTCTCTCTCTCTCTCTCTCTCTCTCTCTCTCTCTCTCTCTTCTCTCTCTCTCTCTCTCTCTCTCTTCTCTCTCTCTCTCTCTCATGGTCTGCCTCTTTCGAGTTGATTTTAAACTTCTATGCTGATGTCAGTCATCATCGTCAGCATTCACATTACTGAAACCACGAATGTTAGTCATTTGCTGCTCTTCTAGGACTTCCCAGCGCCGCTCTGGAAAGGAAAGACGCTTTTCGGAGCGGAAAGGGAACGTCTGTCAAGCGGTCATGACAGATCGAATTCACTCAGCAAAAAAAAAAAAAGAGAGAGAGAGAGAGAGAGAGAGAAAGACTATTGTGATAGATCGGCTCAAAAAAATGATGATAATGATAAGGAAAAGAAGTAAAAGATTATTAAGAATATTAAGAATTATAGTAAATGACGATTGATGACGATGACGACGACGGGGTCATCCCGATCACTCAGCGGGATTAGCGGATTATTCCCCCGCGACGGTCGTGATCCTCGTCGTTTGACCGATTATTAACACACCTTATGGCCGAGGAGGGGGGGGGAGGGGAGGGGAGGCGTTGGATCAGATTTATTGCTCTCTATTTTTTTTTTCTCTTTTCTCTTTCTCTCTCTCTATCTTTTATTTCTCTTTGTATCTCGTTCTCCTTCTTTCCTTTCTCTCTTTTTCTTTTTCGCTCTTTTTTCTCTTCTTCTCTCTCTCTCTCTTCCTCTCCCTCTCCTTTTCTCTCCTCTCTCCCTTTCCCTCTCCTCTCCCTCTCCCTCTCCTCTCCCTTTTCTCCCTGTTCCCCGCCTCTCTCCCTCCGCGGTCGCCTGATCCTCTCTCACTTAACAAGATTAGCTCATCAAACATCACTCGAGGAAAGTTGTTGAAAGGTTGATGGATTGATGGTTGCTTCGGGAGGGGGGGAGGGGGAGGGGCAGTCCATACAACCTCCTGCCCGCCCTCCCTCCCCCTCCTCCCCTCGGCCGCGACAGGTGGACTTCGCCCTTCGGTATTGTCCCTTTGCCCCCCCTCCCGTCCCCCACCCCAGCCACCCTCCTTCCCTTTCCGTACCCTCCCTACCCTACCCTCCTATCGAACCTCAACCTACCCTTCCTTCCCTTTCTCTCCTTCCTCTAACCTCCCTCCCCTCCCCCCTCTTCTCTCCCTCCCCCCTCCTCTTCCCTCCCTCCCTCTCCCACCCTCTCCTCCCCTTCCTATTCTCTCCCCGTCCCTCCCTCTCCCTTCCTCTCCCTTCGACGCCTCACAATGGCCGCGTTACTTCTGCCTGGCTTCCTCAGGGCGGCCAGCGACACCTTCCCTTCCCCCGGGATGAATGGAGGGAGAACAGGCGCGGAGGGAGGAAGAGAGAGAGAGAGAGAGAGGAAATGGAAGAGGGCGAGGGAAAGGGAAAGAGGAAGAGAGGGAAAGGTGGGGAATGGAAGAGGGTGAGAGAAAGGGGAGGAGGGAACGATAGAGAGAGAGAGAGAAGGCGGGGAGGAGAGAATGGTCGAAGAAAGAGGGAAACGCAATGACAAAATATTACTTTCTTTATTCTCGTTATCTTCATTTCGACTCTCCGAGGCCCCGCCCCCTCGGCCGACTCCAAGGGCGCAGGACTCCCGCAGGAGCCCGCCGCAGGAGCCCGCCGCGGCCGGCGAGGACGAAGAGGAGTGAAACCCCGGCCAAGGGCTGTGACAGGGCGCCTCGTCCCGCGCTCGCACACCGCCCAAATGGGAATCCAATGCTCTCTATGCTCACTTAATTATTGCACTCGGCGAATTGATGGCACACCGGGCTACTCACTGGGGTAATTGATGAGTAAATATGTCATGTGGAGCGTCGGGCCCCGGCTGACGGCCTCGGTTGCAGCGGGAGGCCCCGCTGCGCCTCCTGCTGCGCCTGCTCGCCCTTCTCCTCCTCTCTCTTCTAACTTTCCCTTCTACTTCTCCGCCTATTTACCTTCTTTCATCTACCATCCTCCTCCTCCTCATTCTCTTCTCACACCGCCTATTCTTCCTCCTGCTCTTCGTCCTCCCTCTCCTTCCTCTCTGCCCCCACCTATTCCCTTCCTGCTCTTCCTCGTCCTCCTGCGCCCTCCCTTCGCTCCCCGAATCGGAGGCCAATTTAAATAAGAGGCGATTGTGTAACATCAGCCGAAATGTAGAAAGAAATAGCAGTAAATAAAATGCAAGAAATCTCCCCTCAGAGACGGTCCCCGGAGGTCGTTCCAATAAAGAAAAAGTGCATCAGGGGAGAAGTACGAATTAATAAAGGAATTTATTAGCAATAAAGGGAGGAGGACCAAATGTAGAGGCAGGTCCCCCGGGAGAGAGGGGCGGCGCGGCGGAGGGGGACGCGACGACGCCCGCCCTTGTGTGGCCTCGGTAGGGAGGCAGGGAGAAGGGCGAAGGGGCGGGGAGAGGGAGAAGGGCAAACGCAGAGCCAGGCAGGAAGGGGAGAGACAGAGAGAAGGGGAAAAGGAACAGAGAGGAGAGAGTGAGAAGGTAGTGAGACAGAGAAGGGGAAAGGGGTAAACACAGAGGCAGAGAGAGAGAGAGAGAGAAAGGTAAAGAGGCAGAGAGAGGATAATTGCCGCTGTAGGTCGCGGCCCGCGCGCCGCCCATCACCTGCCAGGCGGCCCGTGATTGCCTCCGAGCAGGTGATCGCGAGGCGAAGGCGTCCATATTCGGGCGAATGAGGAACGAGCGGCGGCGGCGACCTCCGCGCAAGGCCTCGGCGCCATTGATCCGCAGGAGGCGTCGAGAGCGCGGCCGGGCGAGCGCCGAGGGCGAGCGCAAGACAGCGCGGCGGCGTAGCAGATCCCGCCGTGGAGCTGCGAGGAAATTAATCGACGCTATCAAGCGCCCGTTCGGCCGCCCGGCCTCAGGCCACAAACAAACAGGTTACGAAGTGTGTCTGCGGACGTGTTTGTGTGCGCGGCTCGCTGTAACTGTTGTCCCAGGGCGTGGCCGAGCACACACACACACACAGACACATTACACACGCGCGCACATGGACTGCGGCTTACGAGGCAGAGGCGACGAGGACTTCGTTGTCTTTGCCTCCAGAAGGTCTCCCAGGCTTCTTGTTTCTCATTCATCTCCTTCTTTAGCGATGCGTCTCTGTTATCGGTCTCTCCAGCCGTCGTCGAGTGACTCTCGAACATCTCGCCTCCAGAGAAAAAGCGACGAATGTCTTTGTTTGGTAAACGATCTGCACACAGGCGGCCATGCAGGGCGTGGGGGGGGGGGCGCCTTTGGACTCACACGGGAGCCTTGTTTACCTTACGCCTGAGGGGTCCTTGCCCACGGCTCTCGGCTCAGGCGGAAAGCGCCCTTACGGACGCTCTCTTGAAAGGTTTTTCCTTGAAGAAGATTAGCTCCGGTACGCCCACGCGCACGCACGCACGCACGCACAGGTCGGAAGTAATATCGCGAGCGTGAAACCAGCCCTTAACAGGTGAGGAAAGTGGATCGCGTTACCTGCCGATGATGGTTAGGTGTGTACACTCCATTTGCCCTTCTGCCTGTCCCTCTCGGCCCTCCCCCTCCCTCGCCCCTCTCCCCTCTCCCTGCTCTCCCTCGCCCCTCTCTCCCCCTCCCTACTCTCCCCTCGCACCTCTCCCGCCCCTCCCCTCCCCCCAGCCGGTGCGCTCCGGTCGTGATGATAATTAATAAACGACGCTGGCAACAATTTACATAACACGTGACCATTTTGTTGCCTATTGACTCGCGGCGGCGACGCCGATCGGGATCATCGCTGCGGGGCCTCGGGAACTGCTTCCTGTCCTTGCTTTCTCTACTCCTCCTGCTCCACATTTAGGCCCCGTTGGCGTCGAGGCCCGAGGGCGAGCCGAGGCGTCGAGGAGGAGTCGCGAGCGGAGGCGTCCTCCGGCGGGCTCCCGAGGACCTCGTGTTGACCCTCGTAATTGCGAGGGCGGGCCCGCGGACGCCCCGGGAATCGATGTCGATATTAATTCGAGGGCGTGAAACCTGATCCACACGGCTGATGAGTGTGTCTGTCTGTTTGTCTGTGTGCGTGGGCGTGTGGCCGCCGCAGAGAGGGTCCCTCGCCTTGCGTGGGCGTTCTGGCGCCCCTTTGTGGCTGTGTTTGTGGGCGGCGGCTTGCGTCATCCACGACCCACGGCGGCCCGGTTTTCCGATCGGCCAAGCGCGATTTGCATCTCGGAGCCCTCCTCGCCAGCATGCGGTTGTTCTCGCACAATTCTTCACGGAAGAAAAAATGCATGACGATTTTTTTTATGTATATGCATCTATATGTAAATATTATGAAATCAATTTTTTCACGTTTTGAAAAATTCTTCTCATCTATATTTTTATATATACATATATTCACTCTCCCTTTATCCTTCCTTTATACTCTCCTCTCTCCCTTTCCCTCTCCAATTCTTCTCTTCTCCTTCCCTCTCTCCTTCACTCCCTCCTTCCCTAATCGCACTGCTTCCCCCTTTTCCCCCCCATTCCCTCCTTGTTCCCCCCTTCTTCCCTCCTTCCTCCCCTCCTCCCCCGTCACCTTCAACTAACCCCCTCCCCTTCCCTCCCCCAGAATCGTGCGCAACAAGGCGGCGGAGAAAGCCAAGCACTCGATGCCCGGCACGCTGTCCCCGGTGTCCCAGGCGACGTCGGTGATCGCGCACGCCCCGCCCGCGCCCCACGAGACGGCCCTGCAGCGCCAGGGATCCTACTCCATCAACGGCATCCTGGGCATCCCGCCCCACACCGACCCCAACGGCAACATCAACAAGAGGAAGCGGGAAGAGACCGGTGAGTACGCTTGCCGCTGCCTTTATTTCCGTGATTTTCTGCTTCCTTTTCGGTATTTTTAGGGGTTTCATTCTTATTTCCTCTTATTCTATATTTTAGGGGTTTTAATTCTTATTTTCTCTTATTTATTCTATATTTTTAGGGGTTTTATTCTTATTTTCTCTTATTTATTCTATATTTTTAGGGGTTTTAATTCTTGTTTTCCTCTTGTGTATATTTATTATTTTGTTTTCTTGTTGGAGCGTTTTCTAGTCATTAGTGGAAGAGCGAATTTTATGGAAATTGGGTGAACAGAAATAAGTGTTCTTCAAATTATTGTTTTTTTCCGCCATGTAAGAACGTCGTTATGATTCGGTCTGCTCAGTTTTTTTTTTTTTTTTTATTTTTCTCTATATTTTTTCAAGCGAAGACATCAGAGCCTATTCAATACCCTTTTCTTTATCATCATTTCTCCCCTCCCTGTTCCCCTTTCCTTCCTCCCTCCCTTCTTATAATACGCCCTTCCCTCCCTCTCTTCCCTCCTCCCTTGCCCCCCCCCCCCCCCTCTCGCCCCGCTGGGAGCTTCCATCATCATCTTTGAGGCGAAGAAACGAATGATTTTCCAGCAACCTTATGATATTCCCCGCCCGCGCCCGTCGCTGCTTCCGGGGGCTGGGTAGGTGGGGGAGGGGGGCCGGACCTTCTTTTGCTTCTTCTTCCTCTCCTTCTTTGCCGCCGTCGCCTGCTTCTTCTTCGTCTTTTTGTGTTTTTTTTTTTATGTCTTCTTTTTATTATTCTCATCACCTCCTTTTTTTTCTCTTCCCCCCTCTTTCTCCTGCTTTGCTTTATCTCGTCCTTTTCTCTTCTTGCTCTCCTCTTCCACCTCCTCTTCCTCCCCTCCTCCTCCTCCTCTTCCTTCTCTCCTCCTCCTCTTTTCCCCTCCTCCTCCTCCTCCTTCCCTCTTCCCGGTTCCTCCCTCGCCCATCCCTCTTCCTGCTCCTTCCTGATTTCATTTGGGGTCATTTTCACCAAGATCGTTCTGCTGTCTTATTTTTTTCTTTCTTCTTCCTCGTCTTCCCCTTCGTTTTGTTCATTAATGTCATCATTAACCTTTTCTTTACCTGCTCCTTGCCTCTCTCTTTTTCATTCTCCCCTTTCCTCCTTTCCTTTCCGTCCCTTTTTCACCTCATTTGTCAATTCATTTTCCTTCTTCGGCCTTTTCTTAATTCTTCTAGTCTTTTCTTCTCATTTCTCATTCGTCTTCTCCTCCTGTCTCGTTCCCTCCTCTTCATTATCCATCCCCTCCTCCCTCTCTTTCTTCTTTATCCCCCTCTCTCCCTTTCGTCCTCCCTCCTCCTCCTCCTTCTTCTTTATCTCCCTCTCTCTTCCTTTCGTCCTCCTCCTCCTCTCCCTTCTTCTCCTCTAATCCTCCCCCCCTCCCTCTCCCCCCCTCCCTCTATCTCCCGCCTCTCCTTCATCCTCCTCTTTCTCCTCCTCCTCACTCCGCTGAGTAAATATGATGATCGCACGACGCTTCCGTTGGCGCGAGCGAGAGGGCGAGCTGTCTCGGGAGATTAAAATTGTCTGATTATGTCTGAGTTGCGGCGGAGGAGCGCAGGTGTCGCCGCGACGCTACAGATATCACGGGGAGACGGGCGGGCGCGCAAAAAGGGGCAAGGCAAACAGATAGGGAAATAAAGAGACAGAGAGGGAGTGGGAAGGAGAGGGAGGGAGGGAGGGAGGAGGGGAGGAAGAGAGAGAGAGAGATAGAGAGGGTGTGGGAGGGAAGAAGTGATAGTAGAAATAACGAGAAAGGGGGACCAAAGAGCAAGAAGAAAGAGGGGGAGGAGGAAGAAGACGACAGGGCAAACGACGACAGGAGACGGCGCCCGGCCCCCTCCCGCCGCCGCGACGGCCTCTCCGGCAGTAGCTGGCCCCGTCCTCGACCATCAGTCAGCGCTGCTCTCCGGCGCGACTTTATCAAAGGGCGCGGAGGAAGCGGCATAAGTGATAGACGTCATCGGCCCCATTAGCAGCCCAGGATCTAAGGGCGGGCGCGAAGGAGCGCGTGTAATGGAGCAAGGGTTGAGCGCCTACACAAAATGGAGCACCGGACGCGCCTCCAGATGAGGGGGGAGGGGAGGGCCAGGGGGAGGGAGGGAGCACGGGGAGGGGAGCGGGAGGGAAGACACGGAACTGTATTAATGATGGCTGATTGCTTTGTTTTGGGCGAGAGGCACGAGGTCTTGCTCCTCCGCCGCCGTTGCTTTTTTATCTTTCTTGCTCTGCCTTTCTTTTTCTTGATATGATTGCCTTTCATCTCCTCCTCCTTCACCTCCTCTCCTCCCCTCATCCCCTCTTCCTCCTCCTCTACTAGCCTCCTCTCTCCTCTCTCTCCTCTCTCCTCCTCCCTTCTCTCTCCCCCCGGCCCTCGTCTTGGGGCGCGCGCTCATTGGGCCCGACGCAGGCCGAGGGGCAGCGGCGGCCGAGGGATCGGAGGGAAAAGTTTAAAAGCGAAGGGATGACGGGAATATTGTATTACTCGATATTCGGCCTCTCCCCGTCTCTCTCTCTCGCTTTCTCGTATTCCCTCCTTCTATCTTTCGCCTTCTCTCTTTCTCTCTTACTCTCTTTCATTCCCCTTTCACTCTCTCGCATTCCCTCATTCGCACTTGTTTCTGCTTCTTGCTTGCTTTCGTATTCTCTTTCTCCGTCTTGTTTTCCTTCCTCTTTCTCTCTCTCTCTCTCTCTCTCTCTCTCTCTCTCTCTCTCTCTCTCTCTCTCTCTCTCTCTCTCTCTCTCTCTCTCTCTCTCTCTCTCTCTCTCCTCTCTTCTCTTTCCCTTCTCCCACTCTTTCTCTTTTCCTCTCTTCCTCTCTCCCTCAACCTGCCCCTCACTTCCTCTCTTCCTCTCTTCCTCTCTCGCCCCCTCTCCTTCCCCTCTCTCCCTCTCGCCCCAAGATTGATAGAGTTTGTAATCAGCGCCCTGCATCGATTTCCCTCTAGCCAAGTTCATTAAAGGCGACTTTCCCGTCAATAAATGTGCATTTGAGAACTCTACCGTCACCAAACCCGTATTAAGGAAGCCAGATAACGAAAAAAGCGAAAAGAAAGAGAGAGAAGAGGTAAAAGTGCGTAGAAAAAATATAGGGGAAGGAAAAGAGAGGAGGGAAGAGGGGGTTCTAGATTATGTAAATTTCTAAACTTGGGAATCAAGGTCATATAGTCTAAGTGCATCGGCGGAAGAAGGAAAGGAGGAAGGGGAAGGCGGAATAAATAAAGCCTGATAAAAGGGGGAGGGAAGGCGCAAGAAAGGCCAAGCTATCATTAACCTCTTTGCGAGAGCTTTCACAGAGGATTGAATCCCGCTCTGCGGATTAATCCTCGACTAAGTGCGACTTGATTTACGCCTACCGGAGCCGTTCTCCGCGCGGTGTTGCCAGCCGCACCTGGCCGCGGGAGGGCTTCCGGAGAACAATTTCTTTATGCATTTAATCACTAGGCTGCAAACAGCCAGCCGACGTTAAAGAGCCTCCTGGGGCGCCGTTTTTCACCATTGGATTACATTAAGACTCGCCGGCTGGGGATTGAGAAAATAATTTGTAAATACCGCGGCAGCCCCGGCGCTGGCACCGCGCGCGCCAAGGAGGCCGTCCCAGCCCATCGCTCGCGTTTTAGCGCCCCCTTGATTGCAATTAATTCCGCCCTGGGAAATCGCGGATGCCGCGCCGGCACAAGTTAAAAAGGATGCCCGCCATTAAAACCCATTTATTCAATTAGATTTTTTAAAAGAAAATTAAGGCGCTATCTCTGATGATGCTCGGAGAGGCCTCCCGGCGCCGCGGCGGCCGACCCGGGGGCGCGAAGGAAAAGGGCGCCGAGGGTGTCGTGCGGCTGGCAGGGGCGCTTTAAGCATCCTTCCGAGATGCGGCACACGCCCTCGCGCCCTCCCGCCCTTTCGCTTTTTCCCTTTTCCTCCCGCCGCCTCGCGCATACTGCGTCCATCGCGAAAGGAGTGCGCGGCCGTGCCTGCCGACGGCGGCAGCGGAGGCCGTGGCGAGATTCGACCAAGGAGCGCCGCGGTGGGCGTGAGGGGCGCCCGGCCGCGCCGCGGGCGACGGGGAAATATGCCCTCCATTCCCTTATGATCCCCAGCCGCTCCTAAAGGCGGCCCGACTCGCGAAGAAGCTCCGCATTCCATCAGATTAATGAGTCGGCGAGCGCGCGTGTACGGATCACCCCCTTGTGTTTACCTGTTGTCCCGAACGCCCGCGTGAATTATCGTACCCGGGCGGCAGCGCCAACAAATTAGTTGCTGCTTGGATGGGAACGCCGCTAATCGAAAGTTAAGCATCCGAGGCTCGCTGGCCCGCTCCCGTATCAACAAGTTTAAGCCTCGCCGCTAAATGTAGTCGATCACTTAGTTCGAATGAAAATTAGGCGCCTTTTTCCCCGGCCGCCGATGGCGCGTCAAGTTACGTGCATTGCACTCTGGTAGATTGGTGACACGCGCGGCGGGGCGCCCTTCATCAGGCCAGGAAGTGCAGTCCTTCTTAATGATCTCTGCTTCTGCCACGCCGAGCCAGGGCGGCGGCCGGCCAGGGCGAGGCCGCGCCCCGCGCCCGTGTTGTGGCTGCATGTGTGCGGGTTTATGTGCTGGTGTATGCGCATGATTTTGGATTCATGCGGATATATGTACAAATACTCGTTCATGCACGCATGTTTCGGGGCCGCAGTCGAGAGCCTGTGGGTGCGGCGGCCGCCTCCGCAGCGCGGCTCGAGGGGCGCCGCCGCCCGAGGCAGGAGCCGCCGGCGGGAGACAGCATCGTCACACCTCCGCCAGGCATATCACCGGGGAATAAACGTGAATTAAGGAGGTCAGAAGGTCGAAAATCACGCTAATGCCTTCGTTCCCTGTCCCTTAAAGCCCCGGGTGATTTAGTGCCATCCTTCCCCGTCGCTTTCTATGCAAATGAGGCGATGGCTTGGTAATTAAACCGGGCTTAACGAGTGATCAGCAAC